GGATTATTTTGAAGCTATGATTAGTCGAAGTGGAATGCAAGAAGCAACAGCTGGTAAGAAAAACGATACAGAAAAATTTTCTTTTTGATTTTAATGAAAATTGCTTTTTTTTTTAAATAGATACTATTGAATTAAAAGACATTACAGCAAATGGATTACGAGCTGTACTTGATTTTATTTATACCGGTGAATTATCACTAAGTATTGAGAATATAGGTATGTTTCATAAAATAATTTAGAGAACTTTTCAATGAATTAAACGTAGACATGAATAAAAATATGTTGAAAATGTGATATTGAATGAATAATTTTGTTGATCTATGGAAAGCAAGAATATTCCATTTTGGAAAGAAAAACAAATTAGTTGAACTTATAAAATCTTTCAAAATGATTAAAGGACGGGGGGCGATTTCTACAGAAATCGACCCAATTGAATTTTAATGATCTGCTCGGGTAGAAACAAAGGAAATGATGGTAGAAAGTATACCTTATGGTTTTCAAATGATTTTGCTAGGTATTTACAAGTTCAGAATCCGATTACTTCTTNTCTACTGATATATAATTCATTTGGTTTGAATTAAGTAACAAGTACGTATATGTAAAACTTGACAACCGAAAAATGCCCCTATGTATACACAGAAAATTGAAGAAGTAATCGGATTCTGAACTTGTAAATACCTAGCAAAATCATTTGAAAACCATAAGGTATACTTTCTACCATCATTTCCTTTGTTTCTACCCGAGCAGATCATTAAAATTCAATTGGGCTGATTTCTGTAGAAATCGCCCCCCGTCCTTTTGTTTAAAATAACTATTTGTAACTTATCATTGTCAAATTACAGAGTAATCAAATCAGAATATATCAAGAAAAATGTATACAATAAAATGGATTTATAACCATTTGAAAATGCACTGACCGATTTGTTGAATCGTTTTCAACCGATTATTACAAATGGCTTCAAAAAAGAAATATCTTTCTATAGCCATTTACATTTGTTAGGTCATCTCAAACATGAATGTATGATAGTTCTGTTTATAGAAAGAAGAAAACAGAGCCATCTACCCAATAGCTGATTGCTAAACTTCAAATCTTGTATAGAAACCTAAGGTTTCTCTTCAAACAATGAGTCGTACTTAGATCTGATCTCTAAAGAAAGATCAATGAAATAATCTAGACAAAACTCCTCATATTTACGTCGCAGTATTCTGTAAGCTCATAAAATGACGACTACTTGTTAGTGAAAAATTGGATCGTTGAGAAGACTCTGTTTCCAGCAGTTGGAATGATTGACTTGAAAAATTTATAAAATATATTTCAATTATAGTGATAAAACTGTTTGAGTAGTTTGACAAGTGTATTCAAATTTGCTCTCGACATGTTTTATCTGAGAAAAACAACATATGAATAAAATTTCCTCCAACCGATGCGATCTTCTTGCAGTTCTTATATAAAATGGTAACTCAATCTTACCTCAAAACCTTTTGGACTCTCAACGATATTTATAGATGATGAAATGAACTTCGTAATGCACTTGATTACTTTTCCATTAGTCATATCTCACTTAACAAGTCTTGATAAGGATAATATATAGATGAAACTAGTTGAACTCTAGTTGAATATGTCCTAGATATATAAAAAAAAAAAGAATTCAGCTGAATAACTTATAAAATATTATTTTCTAGAGAGAAGTCGTAAACTTCAAAATTTCAACAAACTTGACTAGGTTTCAAGATATTCCAACATATATTAAAAACTATAGCTCAAAGCAGAGAGAAAACAGCAGAGACTTCATTCTTGAAATCCCATAAAATCTGCTGTTTCTTCTTCGATTGTTGTCTTATGATGGAAATTTTCTAATGTGAAATAAATAAACTAGCTCAAAAATATCTTCTTATTTTTCAATAACTTTTCTGATATGTTACGCTTTAAAGCTTTTTTTAACAATAAACTTCAGAATAGACATTTACTGATTGATTTTATTGTATTCTTTTGATTGAATTTAGACGACATCGATTTGATTAATAAATATTTGTTATGTATTTAGCTGAAGTACTACGTGCAGTAACACATTTACAAGTACATCATGCAATTAAACTTTGTGAAGATTTTTTAATTGAAGAAACAACTGTTGACAATTGTATTGATGTTCTTAGTCTTGCTGATTTATTTTCTATTCCTGTATTAGAAAAGGTTTGTTTTATTTTGATTTTAATTTAAATAAATTTATTATCATATTTAGATAAATAAATTTGTTTTACGTAATTTTCCTAAAGTTGCACTTAATGAAGGTTTTAAACGTTTAACATATGAACAAATTCTTTATTTAATACGTTCAAATGAATTTCGTCTTTATCCCGAAATAAAAGTTTTTGATATGTGTGTTGAATGGTTAAAATCTGATGAAAACAATCGTATGACTTATGCAAGTTCATTAATGGAACATGTTCGTTTTCAAACAATGAAACCTGAAGAATTTAATGATTTAGTTATGTCACATAATTTTATGAAAATAGATCCCGATTGTATACATTATGCATTTGAAGCATATTCATATTTTTCATTACCAAATCGTCAATATTGTTCAACATCACCACGAAGTAAAATACGTAATGAAGCAAGTCTTGTTTGTGTTAATGAATCAATGTATATATTAAATAAACATGATGATGTTTGGGAATATATGTGTAATTCATTAGCAACATGGAGAACATTATCACAAAAATTTGTTGTTGTTAATAATTTTCTTTATGCATGTGGAGGTTATTCTGAAAATAATCGAGAAACAACAAATGCATGTTATCGATTTGATCCAAGAACAGGTTTATGGTCTGAAATTGCAAGACTTTGTGAAAAAAGACAATTTTTTTCATTAGCTGGGTAAGTATTAGTACAGAAGCTGAAGACACGATATAAAACAAAATTCTTTCTGTTGAAAGAGGTCATTGAAGAAAAAATATTTCTCAATTTATGATGACAAGTTTTTTTTTTTTTTTTACCTAATTAGACTTGATTAGTCTAAAACGTTGACTGACTTAACTTCTGCTCATAAAAATAGACCTTTAACTAAATTTAGAACAATTATATTCATTAAAATAGTAAACGTTTGATGTATCCGAACTGATTGCTAATATGTATCTAAAAGTTGTTAATTAAGTTTTAAAATCAGGCAATTGTTGCTTGCTATAGAATCGGATAGGTCATTGGAAATGTTTCATTCAATTTTTAGTGCTACATTTAAGCTTGAAAGGATAACTTACAAATTGAAGATTCCTATTTATTAACTTAATTATATAAACTAGTTACTCGATCTAACATTGGATGGTCATATTTCAACCATATTTACATTAAAGAAATGTAATACATGACACAAGAGATCTAGTCGAGTGATAATAATCTTTTCGTTTATTGAAGTATGTTCCGACGAGAGATGTGCAGAACCAACAAAATGATTGCAGTAAATTTTCTTTCTCATGGTTCCGGTCTGTTTTCGACAAGGGTTTTTATATCGTGATTCCGTAATATGTATAGACGTCTGCGATGCATCTAGAGGTCAAAATCGAAGTAGTATCAAAGGCGCTTTCAGTTTTACAAGTGGAAAGCTTTGTACCATTGACATCTAAATTCAATGAAGTAAAAAAATTCAATATTTTAAAGATGCATTAATATGAAGCTTTTCTGTTTTTAATTTAATCGATTTTTCTATGTTCTATTTGAAATTCTACATAATATCTTTTGTTTATTTAGTTCAAATGAATGTTTAGTTGCCGTTGGTGGGTAAGTACGATTTATTCTCATGTTTCCAAAAATATTATTTCATCAATATCTTCTAGAGTCTATGGTGATAAAGGAAATTTTTATGCTACACATCCTTGTTCAACAGCAATTGAAGTATATAATATAGAAAAAGATCAATGGCGAACATTAGCATGTACAGATTTACCAATACTTAAATGGCCAGGAGCTTGTGTTACTGAAAACTTTGCTTTTGTTATCGGTGGAAAACATACCGATGGTAAAAGAAAAACAAAATAAATCAAATGATTTTTATTTTTAAAAAATATTAAATAATTATTTCTAGGACTTAATCATCGTTTATCAGAAAATTCTTATATGGTTGATTTAGAATCTGGTCATGTAACAATATGTGCAGCACCATTAACTGTTCGATTTAATCCAACTGTATTTTATCAAAATAGACGTTTAATTTTATTTGGTGGAGAAGATGATAAATATCGTTTAGCACCTTGTATTGAAATGTATGATTTAACAACAAATCAATGGACAGAAATTGCAACTATACCTGTCTCACATTCATATCAATGTATATCAAGTTCATCTATAATGGGAGATAAAATACATTATTTACTTGAAGAACATGATGGTAAGATTTGATTAAAATGAAAATATTTCAATTACGATTTATTTTTTTCTTTTCATAGGTCCATCAAGCGAATCATATATTCTTAAATCATCTTATTTTGATATTGAAAAACGTACATTTGAACGTAGTGTTCAATTACCTCATCCATCAACATTAGCTAGTAAATGGTGTTCACTTGTTTTTCCTCAACAATTTCTTGATGGCTGTCAAACATTTGATAATCATGAAACGCATCATCATCATAATCACCACCATCATCATCATCCACATTATAATCATTATCCATCTGATAATACTCCTCGACAGAGTTTAGGTGAAACATCAAGTGGTGGTGATGTATCATCAAGTAGTACAAATAGTGCTAGTAATAGTCCAATGATTTATCAACGTCATAGATATTATCCTGAACATCATCATCATCGTACTTGTTCAAATTAAATTTATGCTCCTTTTGTTTTTCTTTTCATGTGTATATATATATTCTTGTTTTTAGTCTGAATGCTTTGTGTATGTATGTATGTATATATATATTCATATAAATGTATATGTTTGTCATTGCTTTTAAAGAAAATAAAAGATGATCTTATATTATTTCAGATAAGACTAAGCTATTGAAAAATGTCAGAAGAGGTATTTTGTATAGTTATTGATTTTGTCTTTCTTATTTTTGCATTGCCAAATTTTTAATAGTCAATAGTCAATGAACAAGAAGAGATAATAATGAAACAATATTCGTCATTATTATCAGATGATGATGATTTGAAGGAATTATGTAATTTACTTGATGAAGAAAGATATAAAATGCATCAATTAGTTGAACAATGGAAATATTATGGTACGAATACAATACATAAACTTGCATCTCAAATAGTTGATTATCAAGAAAAGTTAAATGACCTCGAACAACGACAAATATCATTATTAAAAGAAAATAAATCTCTTCAGTCTCTCGTTGATCAATTGATGTTAACAAAAATAAATAGTGATACTCGATCAATAGTAGATATAATTAAAAACAATCAAAAACTTACCTTTTTTTTGTACTTTTACTAAATTTCAGAAACCATTTCAACAAAATGCTTCTACACAAACATCTACTCAAAAACAAGAACCTTTCCGTGATATGCCTATAGACGATTCACTTCAACGACAAATCTCACTTCAAAATATGTTTGATGCTATTAAAGTAAAAGAAACTATAACTTTCTTCATCATGATAATCTTTCTTTCTATGTTTAAAGACAGCTGAAATTTATGAGTCTGTTGAAAATATGACTGGAAATGAGACGTCAGAAAAAATTATTCTAAAAGAATTCTGTAATGTACGCCAAATTTCAACGAATCATCTTCGAAAAAAAAATTAATGTTTATTTTTAGCTTGTTTGGAAATATCTCGAAGAACGTTCAACACCAACGAGTAGCTGTTTATTATAATTAATTAATGTATATATGGTTTTGTTTTGTAGTCAGATAGCACATAAATTTTATTGTCATATATTTGTTTGAATTGACAATAATAATAATAAATTAATAAAATTTAATGTAAAGTACGATGACGAGGACTTCACAGTATCGTAATTTACTTCCAGTGTTGTTAGGTGCATAGTTGTTGTTAAGGGTTCAACAATTTCAATATAATCTTCTTCATCATAATCTTCATCATCATCATCATCAAAATCATTCATTTCATTTGCTTTTCTCATACTATTTTTTAAATCATACATATCTTGTTCTGTTAACGATAAACTTGGATAAGGACGAATGATTATTGTTGGAATATACCTATTCATTGTAGCATTCATTTCACATTGAATCAATCTAAAACTAATATTTATTAATTTCAAAATGATAAAAAATAAATTAATTACTTGAGAAAAAAAATAAGTTTCCATAAATAAATTATTGAAACTAATTTCATTGTTATTTGTTTGATAATATTTCATTATTGAACAAGATAAAAGTCATTGCCAGTGTAAACAAGAGAATAGCATTTGTGCTTTATTATTAAAAAAAACATGTATGAGTAGCTATTCATCCGGGAAGAGATTCTTGAATCAAATAAGCGGAATACAGCATACTCCGATGGCACAATTAGAAGGAACGACACGATATTTTTTTTCTATTTTTTTATGTTCTTACGTCCTTCTCCTTTTCTATTTTTAGTTGTTTGACAATTTGAAGATAGAGAGAAATGAAAAAGTATCGGTAGAGTTTCACTCATTAATTTCTCTTTCTATTTTATACTTTGAAGTTATATTACGTTTATGTTCATATTATAAACTCAGCTCATCAGTTACTATCATCTTTTGTTACAGAGCACCTTTTTTTTTCTACTTGTGCATTTTTATTTCCGTTTGTCTATATCGATTATTAGAAAAAACAACTAATCGAATTATTAACACAGTATATTTCGAAATCTATCTTTATTTGATCAAGAACTCGAACAACTAGTAAAATTATAATTAATTGCAATAAAATAATTAGCATCTTTGACAATTTATTTTTAAGAGTTTTTATACAAGAGAAAAAAAACTGAGAAATAGAATTGAAGATTAATCGTCGTAAATGTTAAACTACAGAAAAAACATAACGAAAATTAATTTAATTTATTTGATAAGATTGTTGTCTGTTCATTTTTATTTTTGATAATAACATCGAAAGCTTAGGTTGAAAGATAATTATTAAAGCTATAAGAATTATTTTGTTTGAAAATGTCAGTCTTTTTCCTTTTATGAAAATGACAGCAGCCGATGAGCTCTTTTTTGTCCTTCGCATCTTCTACATTAAACTGCGAGCGACAATACAGAGAAAAAAAAAGTTCTTGACAACCAATCTTCAAAATTGTCGATTTTATTCAGAATTACAAAGATCAACACAATCAATAGATATTTCGTTATAAATATTAAATATTAATAATAATGCTAAAATACGATCAACTATCGAATGTTCAATTAAAAAAGAAATTAAAAAGTTTGTATATTCAAAATAAAAAACAATTTTATTTATTTTATATTAGTGAAAATTCAAGTGCGTATGAAAAATAACATTTGAAAACATCAATAAAAAATTTTCAGTATAAATTGCCTAGATTTTTTGTTTATAATAATCATCAGAAAGTTTTAGTTGTCTGTTCATATTAATTATTTAATTAACAAAAATATTTGAATATTTTGAAACAAAACAAAACAACTTATTGAAAAACTTCTAGGAAAGTTTAAGATATTAAATTGTAATTAACATTAATCAGACCATTGAAATGATATATGCATATTTCATATTCCTTGTTTTTATTGAAGAAAATAAATCATATTTCGTGTTTTTATTTCATTTTCAACCGACAGATATAACTGTACTATATCAAGTTTATTTATTTTTTAATTAATCCATTAATAACCTAAATAGATGTAATCGGAATTTTTAAAGTGGTCTCAAAAGACAAACTCGAGAAAGTGTGATCCTATTCGTTAATCATATGTAAGAGTGCATTCATTGACTTAACTATTATTACCTATCTTTGACGCCTACAATAATAACAACATAGACTGCACATGCTTCTTCATGTTGTTCATTACGTTGTTGTTTTATATTTTATAAGGATGAAATAACAGATTTAACAAACGAATCATATGATTACATCGAAATATGTAAAACTTTGTCGACAACATAAAAGAAAAGAAGAAATTGTCATTCGGCAATTTGTGTTAAAATTTTATAGAAGGAATCATAAAATCAAAATACTTTCAATTTTTCAAGTATAGTGACTAATACAAAATAAACCTACCAGGAAATCATTCCAACTGATTCTGAGCTTTTGCCTTCATCTTTGGGTCTGAGTAGGTCTTAGTGAGACTAAGACAAACTTGAAAGTATTCATGTTTATTGCACTTCATTGCTGAGATATGATCTAAATAATGTTGTAAACAAAACAGATCATTTTTTATATTATTTTTGAAACCTATATCTTTTTTATCAGTACAATAGGTCAAAGCTAATGTTTTTGTAGCCAGCTTGAATAATAGCTTATTTGTTGAGTTAATTTTAAATTCATGGTTTTACTAATACTAAGAATATCAAATTATAATTGTATCAGACTTAGTGACAAATGATATCACACTGAAAGAGAGACAAATAGAAAATAGAAGAACGACCGTCGATACGTCTTGACTAGGTGTTGTCAGTCATTTCCTTGCCAGAGAGAAATACTTGACGCACATAATATTATGATATGCGTCACGTATTACTCTCTGACAAGGATATGATACACATATGATAAAAAATATCAGCAATTCTTCTTCAATTTTCTATTTGTCTCTCTTTCCCTGTGTTATCACAATTCACCGAATTTTGTACAATTATAACTTGATATTCTAAGTGTTACAAGAACCATGAATCTAAAATTACTATAAAAAATAAACTATCATTCAAGCCCAAATTTCTTTTTGTCTCATTAACACCGACTTCAAGTTAAAATATGAAGCCGAAAGCTTGGAATTAGTTGGAATGATTTCCTTGTTAGTTGCGTTTGTTTTTTTGTCCATGAATGTCTGTGTCTTCATAGATTTTGTTCTTAATAGAATATGTTCTGAACGAATTTCTCTGCTGAATAACACTTGCTCTTTTTTTAATTAGTTTTTTAAAAAATGCAAATTTAATCTTTGGAATTTTTTTTTATTATCTCATACATGAATATCACATTCTATCTAAATATTTTGCATTAAAAATAGGGATTAAATATTGAAAGCAATTGCTTTTATTGTTCGATATTGAAATGTTTTCCCAGGATCAATAATACTAATATGTATTAAATCAATGTTTATATTCTCTTGAAGAAATGTTATCATTTCATTACAACTAGCATTTGTTTCAACAATATGATTTTTTATTTCACTATATGAATGACTGTCTTCTTTACTTCATGCAATCGATTTTTATGTTATCGATTGTAAATCATCAATAAGATTCTATACTTGTCAGTCTGCATCTTCTCTCTGAATTTTTTGCATATTTTTCCTCAAAAAATGGGTCAAAAAACATCTCTACAAATTCAATAGTTTTAAGTGATGTTGAAGTTTATTCCCTTGAGAAAAAAAATGCATCAGACTATTCTATTTAATTAAATTTGACATATTATACTTAATATATTCTATAGATTTACTTCGATATGAAATTATCCTATGAGAATAAAAGCAAAAAGTTGTTTAGTAGCATAATTTATTTGTCTTGACCAATATGAACGATTTATATGTTGTATATTAGTAAAAAATAACAAAAGCAAAACAATTGCTGCATAGCTAGCAAATGAAGAATATATGTCCGTGATTAATGTTCATGTTGAAGGCAAGTTTAGTGATCATATAGAATCTACGTATAGAATTTGCAAATATACGAATGTTTACATCTACTTATAGAGAATTAGATAGACAAAAATAAAGGTAAAGTGTACTTTGATCAAAAAGAAAAATGTCAAAAGAAGATTGCGAAAAATGTCGAACGATTAAAATGTCAATTTATTCAAGCGTCGAAACAATACAAATTATTAGTTAGTCGATGAAAAAGGATTTGATATGTTTATTTCATTTATAGAATTTATATTGATACGAAAAAAAAATTTTTTTTTACACGAAGACCAAAATTGACAAAACGAGAAGATTTTTGATAAACAAATTAACTTGAATCATGCATATGTTTCACATCTATTTTTTCCGGAAGTTTGGATGTCAGTAGACGAGAATGCAAAGAATACATCCATACTCTCACTAAGCCTTAACAATTGCCTGTTAGTGTGTCATCTTCGTTTCTGTAATCAACAGTTTATGTTTCTATTTTCCACACTAGTAATTGCAAACATGAGAACTATCATAAAAACATATTTTTCGACAATTTTATTTGTCGACATTAATAAGATGAATCAAAAAAGGTACAGAAATTAATAGTGAAAAGTGTCGTAAGAGAGAAAAATATGTTTTGATCAACACTTTAGTGATATTTTTCGTCAAATAGTTGTTTTTATTATTATTATATAATGAAAAAAAAGTGAGAAATGATTTAGTATACCTAGTTACCGACCGGTACTAATAAGGCAAAATTCTACTGGTTATTATTTTAGATTTTTGTTCAAAAGTCAAATCTATTATTTACGTCTAGTGCTTGAATAAAAATTAATATGATTGACATTAAGTGCTATTACTAACAAAAATAATTCATTATTCACATATAAATGTTTAATCTTGATCTATAGGATAAATTACATAATAGAAATAATAATAATATTAACTGTTTCAGGGCGTGGTTACTTTTAAGAGAGCAAAGAAATTTTTCGAAACTCTGATGGTACATATTTATTCATGTCGATATATAAAAATGTCTAAAAGTATTTCAGAATGTGATAATTTTAGAGTGCAGATGCGAGTAAGTTTAGATTTCCTTTTCAGTCACACCCACATTCATACCCTTTATATCTGCTAGGTTTATCAAAGATGACTTTGTGATATCTCTATATGTAGTGCGAAAAAAAACGAGTCATTTATCCATCAACTGATTGCTAAACTCTAAAGTTTGAGTTTTCTCACTAAGCTTTGTTAGACAAGACTAAAGTTTCTCTTTGAACGACAATACAAACATAAATTTAGTTTTTACCAAAATATACGTACATATTATGATATTAGTTTAGCTCAAGTAACACAATTTTGATTGTATTTTTTAAAAAACGAAATATAATTACTTCGCTTGAAGAAATAATATAATGCTGATGAATAAAAGAAAAGAAAACTGACAGTTCTTGAAACAACACTATTTGATTATT